ATAAAACTTTTTTTACTTTCTGGTTCCCTCAATAGACTACAAATTCAGGAAAGGCTCAACATCTAGCAGGAGCAGGGGGCGAACTCAATGTTTGCTGAATGAGTATGTGATACATGAAAACCAACATCATTTAACTCTACTTTGAAGGTCTAGGCAAGTGTGCTGAAAAGACACCTGAGCTGGTTCTTCAATAAATTAAGAGGTTAATAAGCAAAACTACCCAAGGGTGTAGAGTGCAGAAAACAAAGCAAAGATCCAGAGATAGGAATCCAGCAAACTGGCATCACCAGAGCAGGGTAATGGGAGGAACATGTGCTCAAGAAAAAGATGAGGGCTGGGTTAATTAAGCAAAAAAGACAAAGAATTGGGAATAAATCTGTGATCCAATGAAACCCTGTTCAAACCTCAAACAGCACCTAATACCTTTTCCTAAACTATCTGTTTACATGTTTTCCCCTCACCAGTCTCTGAAGCAGTGGAGGACAAACTGCTGTGTCCTTACGCATCCCCAGAGCATGGCACAATGACCAGCTCATTGAAAATACTCATGTATTGAACTAGAGGTCCCGGAACGACCTGTGAAGAGAATACCTACCGTGAACACTTTCAAGGCAGCACAGTGTAGTTCAGGGAAGGGCTGATTACTGATGCCACGGAAGAGCTCCAGGGAGTCCCGAGACAGAGCGGAAAACCAGGATTCTGTCATCCTCAGGAAGTCATCTGTCTGTTGCTCAGGCTACCAGAGAGAAAAGGAAAAGCTCATGACAAGGTTAATGGATCTGAAGAAAAGTATCTGTTTATGAGTCAGAAAACCTGAGATGACACTCAGCTAACTCTGGAGCACTCATCTCCAGCCCAGAACTTTTTCATTTTTGTTGGAAGGAATATATAATCTCTAGATCGCTTTAGTTCCATTACTCTGTGATTCCCTGGAAGAGGTTAAGGCCAACTGAGCTACCTGGAAAAGACACTGTCCAATCTGCTGAGCTGCCTGCAGGCTGTGCAGTGCACCTCAGATGTCCAGTTTTCCTAAGCTTTTGGTGATGCAGCTGTCTCTTGAGTCATTTCTGCTCCTCTAAGTAACCCCAATAAAACTCACTGGCTCAGGCTGGGTGTGGTAGTACACACCTTTAATCCTGGCACTTGGAAAGCAGAGGCAGGCAGAAATTTGAGGCCAGCCTAGTCTATCAGCCTAGAGCAAGTTCCAGGCTAGCCAAGGTGCTGTCTCAAAAACAAACAGAAAACCCCACCAAAACAAAACCTCATTGGATCAGCAAATTGGACTTTGGTGGTATCCTTATTTTGGTCTGCTGTTGGCTCCCTATCTGGAAGTAGACATTCACTCACATCTCCCCAGGAAGAGTGTCACACATCATCAAACTAAGTTCAATCCCCAGATCCTACATAAAGGTAAGAGGAGAACCTCAATCCCACAAAGTTGTCCTCTGACTTCCACATGTGTACCTTGTCATATGACCGGATACATACATACCCTCCTTCATATACACATTAATAAATTAAAATTTTAGAAGGAGAAGAGGGGGTCCGATGTGGACTAACCAAAACTAAGGATGCATGAAAAAGTCTATGGAAACTCATTACTTTGTAGCCTAATTTAGGAATATAGCTTTTTGAAAAAAAAAAAGTTTGAGTGCTGGGCATGGTGGCACATGCCTTTAATCCCAGCACCTGGGACGCAGAGGCAGGCAGATCTCTGTGAGTTCAAGGCTAGCCTGGTCTACATAGCGAGTTCTAGGCCAGCTGGGGCTACAGGGAGACTGTCTCAAAAAGACCAAAGGGGTTAAAAAAAAAAGAAATTTGGCCAGGTGTGGTGGCGCTCTCAAAAAGACCAAAAAAGAAGTTTGAACAGAGGCATCCTGCATGGGTAGACAATGCTGCTCCCAGAAATAGGTTATAAAATGAAAATCTCAGTGCCTTCCTGGGTTATTGAACAGGGAGGCCCCAGAGCCCTAACACCCCACCACCAAAAAAAAAAAAAAAAAAAAACAAAACAAACTGACACCAACACAAGTTACTGCCATTGCTCTTGGTTGCCCACCATAACTAAATGGTAAGACCCTACTGTGAAGACACCACACTCTTTGATTGCAGAGAAATCAAGCTGGATCTGACTGGGAAACATCCTCTTAGCTGGCTAGCTTTCCCAGTGCTAGAAGATGCTATTCAAGTTGCTGGGGGAGAAAAGCCACCAACAGTCTTACCCAATGCTGGACCCTGCATGTTACAATACCAACCTGCTAGACACAATGTGCCAACTGTACAACAGTGGCACGACTGTTATACAGGTAAGTAACAACTTAAGGTTGGATTTGAGACTTGTTACACAGTTCATGCCTGGGACTGTCAAAAGTCCATGCTGGGGACGTCATAGGCCTCAGAGGGGAACTCACTTTGTGAAATAGTCATGTTTATATGCCTAGATTTGTGATGTTCTCAGCCCTGGTCAGAGAAGCTTCCTTCTGGTATAGGCAGTGATTAATGCAGAGACTCAAAACTGGTCAAAGTGCTGAAAATTAAGACTTTAATACTCTGCCCTAAGTAAGACATCTGTATCAATCTCCTCTTCCCCGAGGCTCAGGGAACATCGCAAAAGAGGGAGCAGAAAGAACGTAAGAGCTGGAAGACAGGGAGGAGTGCTGGGAAATGCCGTCCTCTAGACATGCCATGACTGCGTCACTCATGAATTCACAGCACCTAGAATTACCTGCACAAGACCTACACAAGATCAAGCCAGTCAATATTCCAGCATGGACGGGGGGAGCTATTGGCAGTTAATGGCTGCTGGGGGAAGGAGAGTCATTTTTCTTGGTGAGTATGGCCACCGGTGGCTTGTCCTTGCTCCAGTGGATGGTCCCCCATCATGTGCATACAGGCAGCACTCAGTGGACTCACTGGGTTATTAAGAAAAAAAGAAAAGGGCACAAGAAAGGAAGATGTTTTGGGGGGACTGGGAGGAAGGGGAGTTAAAGAGGGTAAATATAACTAAAACACCCTGTATACACCTATGAAAATGCTCAAAGAATAAAGAATATATTTTTTAAAAGTTTTAAGGGCCAGGTATGGTGGCACACACCTTCAACTTCAGCACTCAGGGAGGCAAAGGCAGGCAGATCTCTCTGAATCTGAGGCCTGCATGGTCTACATAGTCAGTTCCAGGCCAGCCAGAGCTACGTAGTGAGCTCAAAAACACATAAAATAAAATTTTAAAAAATTAATGCCATTAGTCATTTAATGAGGGTTATCATTTTTTACCAAAAGTGAGAAGCATGACATTCCCTTGGTCAACATTTAGGTTAAGTTAACTAGTACTAAGCTGACTCATTTTCCCTAGCACATCCCACTGCCCTTCATTACTTTCCCATTGTACTTACTGATAAATATAGAAGCAATGAAACTGCATCCAAACATCTAATTTTTAGCTCTGTGGAAGCATTCTTTGCTTGATGTCCTATTCTCATGAGGAGGCGTTCAAAGCGGGTCCCTTTGAAGGATAATGGTAACAGGCTTAGGTATGTGATAAAATGTAGCTGATATAAAACTTACCACTGAACCATCTTAAGCACACAGTTCACTGCTATTAAACATTTTCACACTGCTGCACAACCACCACCACGATCCACCTCTAGATCTTTTTCAGTAACCCAAACTGAACGATTCCCACTCTACTTTCTCTCTCTTTTTTTTTTAATCTTTTTGAGACAGGGTCTCCCTGTAGCCCCAGCTGTCCTGGAACTCACTATGCAGACCAGGCTGGCCTTGAACTCACAGAGATCCACCTGCCTCTGCCTCCCGAGTGCTGGGATTAAAGGTGTGTGCCACCACACCTGGCCAAACAATCTTTTAAGTAAAATCACAGAGTATCTTCATGACTGGATTATTTTACTAATGTCTTCAAACTTCCTTTGTACGAGAGCTTATGTCACAATCCAGTACTTCTCCAAAGCAAGACTTCATTGAATGTAATATCATTTTGTTTATTTATTTATCCATCCATCAATGAGCATTGGGTTGTTTCCAATTATTTTTGGATTAATGCTGCTATAATATAAGCAAACAACTGCTTGAGTCTTTGCTTTTGATATTATCTAGTAAATATGTAGAAGGGGAACTGCTGGTTCATATAATTCTGTTTAACTTTTTTGGTGGAACTTCCATATTATTTTTATTTAGTATTTTATTTAATTTTTTAATTTTATGTGTATGAGTGTATTGCCTGCATGTATGTGAGTGCACCTGTGTCATGCAATGCCACAGAGGTCAGAAGAGGGCTTCAGATTCCCCTGGAGCTTGAGCTAAGGATGGTTCATAGCCGCCATGTGGGTGCTAGGAATTGAACCTGGGTCCTCTGCAAGAGTAGTCAGGGCTCTTAACCGCTAAGCCATCTCTCCAGCCCCCCATATTATTTTTCATAGAAATTGTGCTATTTCATATTTTGGTCAGAAAACATGAGTTTTTCAACATTCTAACATTTGTTATGCTTTTCAATTAAAAATTTTTTTTCATGGCCATCCTCATAGGTATGAAGTGGAAAATGAAATTTTAAAAAAGTATACTTTCATGCATTATGACTCCTATCTACCTAAAGCAACACAAAAACAAGCATGTGGTCAGAGACCAAGTGACAGATTTAATACACTCATGTGCAATACTGCATATATAAGGCAAGGTGTACTGGACTGGAATCAAATGGCCTCTTTATGAGCAGCAATTGCCCCAGTTTCTATGATCTTAGAGCACTTTCTTGATTCCTCTGAGTTTCAGCTACCTTATCTGCAAAATGAGAATGACAGTGGATGCTCTATGCAGGACTATAAAAGGATTCTACACCATAGGAAAAACACTTAGAAAAGCACACCAACACTGTACTAGCTGTGACACACAATGGCACATTAATTCTTAGTATACATCTCAAAGGGCTTTCAAATATAGTGCTTTATTTCTGTATAGAATTTATTATGCTGGTAAAACATTCAAAGTGTACCATAAATGTATCTTTCTTAACGTAAAATCTTGCCACAAAATTTTCTTTTCTGACTTATTACATACATAAAAAATCTTGTGAAATAGTCAAACCCTGCAACTATTGTCATCCTGTTTTAATAAGTGAAGAAAACAAAGCCTAGAGAAGTGAGGTGAACAGAAATTTTAAAAGCTACTATCAGTGTTAGGACAGGGATATAACACGGTCCATGTACCATGACAAGTAGTCAAGGAAGATGCAGACGTGAACAATGTTTGGTCCTAATTGGTTCGTAGAATGCTTTAAACAGTAAAAAGAAAGAGAGACTGTTTTTTAGTAGTAATTATAAGACTTGGATAAATGAGTCCATAACCTCAGACAAGACTTCCATTCAGAGAAGTAGTTCCTCTAAGTTAACTCATCAGCATCTGAACCTGAGGAAACTGAATCCTGACCCAAAACTAAATACATCTAAAAAACCCCAAGATAAATCATACCAACCTGTTTTTTGTAAAACTTGTTTTCCTTCAACACTGGATCCCACGATTCCAACTGTGTCTACAGCTATACCAATCATGGTGGAGTCTTGACTTTCCATCATTTCAAATACTTTTTCCAGAAAGACAGGGTAGCGCTCACAGATCTGTTGAGGACTATCCATGACGGCCAGGTTTCCAAAAAACTTTACGAATCCTAAAGATTTTTACAAAAATATCTTAAAAAAATATTTTATTATATTTTATTTTATGTGTATGTGTGTACTGCCTGCATGAAGGTAAGTGTACCCGTGTCATGCAATGCCCATGGAGGACAGAAGAGGCTGTCAGATCCCCTGGAACTGGAGTTATGGACAGTTGTTAGCTGCCATGTGGGTGCTGGAATTCCAACCCAGATCTTCTGCAAGAACAGTCAGTGTTCTTAACTGCTGAGCCATCTCTCTAGCCCCCACAAAAATATATCTTAACAGAGGGATAAGACAGCACCAACTGTAGGCCCTATGTTTCCATCAGAAGAGGAATAAACCACAGGCTAGAAAGAGAAAGACTATAGCAGTCTAGAAATCAGAGCCCAGAGGAGATTGAAAGACCCCTAAGATGTGTGATTCTGAGAACAGAAATCCCAAGTTACCAAGGGAGCTGGATCTACATACTGAAATACTGTCATATGCCAGAGAAAGACAAGAACCACAGGACACCAATGATAGGAAGGCAAGCTCTGAAGACAGTACTGGAGGAAAGTTTTAAACAGGTATCTTCACTAATAAAGTGGGCTACCTCAAGGGTAGTAAGTCTCCAACTGCTAAGTTACACACATGGAAATCTACCATGCCCTGGAACACAATGGGTGGAGTAGATTCTGTATTATATGAAGATTTCACCTCAGAGATTTCATGGATCTACGACATGTACTGTAAATGTCATTATTAGTATATATTTTAGTTATAATTCTTTTCACTGAGCTGTGATCTTAATGCTCTAAAAAGCATTTTCATAAAACATCCACCTCTTACACTCTTTCTGTCTCTCTTCCTCAATGTTCCCTGAGCCCTAAGTGGGTGAAGTTTAATACAAGAGTCCTGTCTGAGAACTAGCATTCTGCAGACTCTTAATCTCTACACTGTGGTCATCTGTGACCTTTTGTGCTCCTGGTCTTCTGTTGCATAAGGGAGCTTCATTAATGAGAACTCAAAGATTCATCAGTGACCTCTTTACCCCGTTCTATGTTCCCATGAGCCTTAAGTGTAGAGGTTGTACTGTAGGTGTATCACTTAGGCCTGGGCAATTCATAGATGTCTGTGTGTGACAAGTTGTAGAACTTGGTAATAGTCTCTGTCTAGTACAAAAGAAGCTTCTTTGATGAGTGGTGACTGGGATATTTGTCTTTAAATATAAGGATACAAGTTTTGCACATACTAAGAAATTACATTAGTCTAGGGAGTGACAGTCTCTGGGTTTTCTCTAAGATCTATGACCTCTCCAGCCATGTGTATCTGGTTATGTTTTTGGTACCACACTTGAGTTTCCTCCCATCGAGTGGGCTTTTAGTCCAATTAGGTAGGTAGCTGTTGATTGCCCCCAAGATAAAAGTGCTGCTACTGCACCAATGCTGTATGCTGTGCCAGTCACTGATGTGGTTATTTAATCTTGAAGATCATGTTGGACCATTGATTGGTGTTTTCCCTTGGAACCCTCATAGTGCTCTCCAAAGTAATGAGAGCTAGCCTTCAAAGTAAGTGGCTTCCAGGTCAGTTCCAGATCTACTGCTCCAAATCCTGTGTCTGAAGTATCTTCTGTCTTCAGCAATAGGGTCTTACCTTCAAGTTCTGTGAGGCAATCAAGGGCTGTGGCAATAGCCTATGTAATTTTGGGGGTCTCTTGGACCACCCTAGCTAACAATTCAAAGAAAGGTTTCTCCTGTCTGGCACTATTTCTTGTTATATGGCCTTTAGCTATACACTTGTAGAGATATTGTATGTGTAATGTGTCCTTAGGTTGTTGGACCAATATGATTCCCTCTGGTTTTTTAAAACTAGCTAGGCATTATTTATCTCTCCTCTCTCTCTATCCCTGTCTAACCCTTCCACCATGGGTTCCCCATTTCTCCCTTGATAATACCAGTCTACTATGGTCCCAACTCTTGAGCTCCTTCTTTCCCTTAAGAGCCAGGGAGGAGGTGCAAAACCACATGGAAATAGAGTCCTACAAGCTCCTGGGACCCTGCTCATATGAATCTACAGCATTGGTGTCAGCATGCACAATACTCATGCAAACACAAGCAGACAAAAACTTTCCATAGAACTGGGGAAACGGACAGCATGACCCCAATCTTAGCTGAAGAAATATTGGCAACTGATTACTGCTAGGTGAGGAAGAGCTGATCTTCCTGCAGCAAGGGACTCTAGATAAAGCTACTAGACCTCAATAGATGAACTTGTACTGAGGAACATCTGAGGACACTTAACTTGACACAATAGGCCTTTACACAAATGACAGAATGTATGAATTCCAATGGGGGAGCTATGGGAGGGTGCCAGTGGGGACAGGGGTATAAATATGATTAAGACTGAGATGTTCTGTATGAAATACACAAAAATTCAATACAAATAAATTTAAAAAAATTCACCTCATTAAGGGGTCTCTGAGTATTTTTTTAAAAAAATTAACTTTTTAAACTAACAGATTAAAAAATTAGATAAAAAAATTGTACCTAGTTATCGTGTATAACATGTTTAGAAATACATTCATGTCATAGAATGGCCAAATTGGGGAGGAAATACATACATACATACACACACACACACACATATATATATCTTAAATTTTTTTGTGGTAAGAAGACTTGAAATTTATTCTTAGAAAAATTTAAGGACACAACACTGTTAACTATAATCATTATGTCATATACTTCTTTCTGACATTTTGTATCTTTTGACTAGCATCTACCCACACACTGTACTAGGCCTGTAATCACTAATCTATACCTCTTTTTTAAAATTTTGCTTTTATTTTATGTGCACGAATGTTTTACCTACATGTATGTAAGTACACCTGTGTGTGTAATGCCCACAGAGGCCAGAAGAGGGGGGTTGGATTCCGGAGAACTAGAGTTACAGATGGTTGATAGTGGTCATATAGGTGTTGGGAACTAAACCCAAGTCCTCTGCAAGAGTGGCCAGTGCTCTTAATGGCTGAGCCATCTTTCCAGCTCCTTAATTTCTACTTCTGAATCCAACTTTTTTTTTTTTTTTTTTTTTTTCAGAGCTGAGGACTGAACCCAGGGCCTTGCACTTGCTAGGTAAGTGCTCTACCACTGAGCTAAATCCCCAACCCCCGAATCCAACTTTTTTAGATTATATATACATGTAAATGAGATCATGTGATCTTCATTTAGAATGATCTCTGGGGTCATCCACTGTTTAAATGACGGGATTTCTTTCCTTTGGAGGCTGAATAGCATTCCACTGTGGACACTGCTTAGGTTCATTCCCCATCTTGCCCACTGAGGATGCTGCATTGAACATGGAGTACAGGCAGCTTTTCACATGCTGGTTTAATTTCCTTTGGCTATATATCCAATAGGGACAAGGAGCTCATATCCTAATTTTAACTTTTTTTCTTTTAATATTTTATGTATTATTTTTATGTGTATGTGTGTATTGCCTCTATGTAGGTTAAGTGCACCCGTGTTGTGCAATGCCCGCAGAGGACAAAAGAGGCTGTCGGATCCCCTGGAACTGGAGTTACGGACAGTTGTTAGCTGCCATATGGGTGCTGAGATTCAAACCTGGGTCTTCTGCAAGAATAGCCAGTGTTCTAAACCACTGAGCCATCTCTCCAGCCCCCTAATTTTAACTTTTTAAAAGCACTAATTTACAATCCCAAAGAATGTACTCTACAGCCTCAACAATTATCTTCTGTCTTTTTTGATACAAGCCATTGTAAGAGGTATAATTCTGCACTGTGTTTTAACTGAGTATCTGTATGATTCTTGGTAAATGCAGTCAGTCCTTTGCTCATTTTCAATTGGGCTGTTCTTGCTACTGATTTGTCTGCACTCCTGGTGTTTTGTATACTCACCCCTAGTGAGATATACAGTTTGTAAACATTCTCTATTCAGATTATCTCTTCACTCTGATGAGTTTCCATGTCTGAGTCAAAGCCTGTTACTTTGATGACTTCATTTGTTAATTTCTCCTCTGTTGCCTGTGCTTCCAGCAGCCATACCCAAAAGTCTTGGCCCAAACCAACATCTGAAGTGCCTCCCTATGCTCTCCTCTAGCAGCTTCAGTTTCGTGTCTTAAGTTTCAGTCTTTTTTATACTATGAATTGATTTTTTTTTGTGATAAGGGTCTAATTTCATTCTACACTAAATTACCCAGTTTTTCTCGCATCATTTATTGAAAATAAAATAATGTACTCTGCCACTGTGTTTTTGACATTTTTTTGACAAGTGATTATAAATGCAAGGATTCATTTCTGAGCTCTCTACTCTGTGCCATGAGTCTATATGGCCTTTTATGGGAGTACGGTGGTATTTAATCACTAGGTATTCTTTGTATTTATGCTCTCCTAATGTGGATGTTTCTTTGAGTTCTCTTTTGGATAGTCTATTGTTAGGGTAGAATGCTGGTACTTCCGTATGTTGTGCTCTATCCTCCAACTTTACTGAATTAAAATTTTCCTTCCTTCTTTCCCTCCCTCCCTCCCTCCTTCCTTCCTTCCTTCCTAGGAAGAAGGGTTAATTTTGAAACAGGATCTCCCTATAGCCCCAGCTGGAACTCACTATGTAGACTAGGCTGAACTCATAGGGATCTGCCCGTCTCTGCCTCCCAAGTGCTGGGATTAAAGGTGTGAGCCACCATGCCTGAGATCATGTCACCAACAAACAAGAACAATCTAATGTCATTCTTTCAGATTTTGGTGCTTTTCCACCCTTCTTTCCTATAGCTCGAGGATTTCCAGTACTATGCTGAACAGGAGAGGTAAGAAAGGGCATCCTGTTCCTGATTTTAGAGGAAAGGTTTCAACTTCTCACATTTGAGTGCAGCATTAGGTGCGCTTTGTCATACAAGGCCTGTATTGTGTTGAAACACATTTCTTTTTACACCTAATTAAATGAGTTATCATGAAGAAAAGGATGCTGAACTTTTGTCACATGCTTTCAGGTCTCTGTTCAGATGACCTATACTTTTTGTCCTCCTTTCTAATAATTTGGTGTATCCTATTTATTGATTTGCACTTAACTGGGGTTCATGATCCTTTAATGTACTGTTGAATTTGGTGGATGTAAGTGCTCTTGAAAGGAAGCAGTTTGAAGAAGACAGTCCCTGGTCTCCACAGACTAGGGGAGCTCAGAAGCAAAGCATCTACCCTCATCCGCCAATGTTTCTTACCTGGCAAATAGAAGCTGGAGAAAGGGTCTGAATCTGCCCCAACAATTATATTCGATATCTGGTCAATTACTCCTTCCTGAGCAAGGTACTGTCGTCCATGATGGGTGTATGCCAGTGATGTCACCATTTCTATACAGGTGGCTCTTAAATAAAAAAGGACGAAAAGATTTCTCACATGAAGAGAGCTTTTAATTTAAAGATTATTCGTGTGTGTGTGTGTGCGCGCGTGTGTGTGTGTGCCACATGTGTGCTGGGATCTGAACTCCAGACCTCTATAAGAGCATCAAACTCTCTAAACTAATCAACAGAGATCCTGCCCCAAGAGCATGCTTTTAAAATTGTTTTCACATGGGTTATAGCAGATTTAATTCTTCTCACAAATCTGAAAGGACTATAATCTTGGCTCTCCTTTTCAGAAGAGGACACAAGAGCTACAAAATTTTAGTAACTTATTTGGAATCATTTGCTATTACAAGGTAGAGTTCAAAGTTAAATCCTGGCCTTTTATCTGGAGAGTCACTATATTTCTGCAACATAGCTGTTTCCTAAGAAATTTTTTTGTTTTTGTTTGATTTTGAAATATCAAACAAACATTAAATACAAAACAAAACAAGAAGTACAAGGTACCAGGTACCCATTTTTTTTTTTTTCGGTCTTTTTGAGACAGGGTCTCCCTGAAGCCCCAGCCGTCCTGGAACTCACTATGTGCACCAGGCTGGCCTTGAACTCAGAGATCCACCTGCCTCTGCCTCTGCTTCTGCCTCCCAAATGCTGGGATTAACGCACAGCCCCTATCCTATAACCCTATTTTAATAGTTACTGAGTTTTTCCTCTTATTTAACAATTCTTTCCATTTTCTATTGAACTGTTTGAAAGAAAACTCATCTCCTGCACACTTCAGGACACATCTGTAAAATGTCAACACTTCTGTTCCAGCACTCGGGAGGCAGAGGCAGGTGGATCTCTCAGAGTTCAAGGCCAGCCTGGTATACATAGTGAGTTCCAGGCCAGCTGAGGCTACAGGGAGACCTGTCTCAGAAAGACCAAAAAGAAAAAAAAAACAAAAAAAAACAAAGAAAACCCACCAACACTTCTGAACACAATTATACGTCCATCACCATATTTTATTATTTTAAAAATATTTTATTATTTTTATTTTTATGTGTATGCGTGTATTGCCTGCATGTAGGTAAGCGCACCCGTGTTGTACAATGCTCGTGGAGGACAGAAAAGGCTGTCAGATCCCCTGGAACTGGAGTTATGGACAGTTGTTAGCTGCCATGTGGGTGCTGGGATTTGAACCCCGGTCTTCTGGAAGAACAGTCGGTGTTCTTAACTGCTGAGCTATCTCTCCAGCCCTCATCACCATATTTTAACAAACTAACAATTCTTGACTATCATCTAATATTCAATCATAACCAAATAACTAAAAATAGCATTTTCCAGTTGGTATTAAAACTTATTATCTAACCATTTGCAGGTTTAGCCATGACCTCATTAGGTTAAGACACTCAAATGCTTTCTAACAATATAGCCAGTGACTCGTCTATACATATGGAGTTAACAAGTTCAGTCAAATTTATATAAAAAAAGACAGCCAGAAAGTCACTTAATATAAGAAAAATCTATATACACAAAGATGACAATTATAATGATATTAATAATTTGCAAGAGAAGCAAACTAAGTATAGTAGTAAGAACGTAGTAAACTGTGGAATCTCAGTAAAGCACATTTGGCATGCACTAAAAGAAATTTAAAGAGAAGGAAAAATAGGGATCTCCAAGACCCTGGAACTGACTTGAGGGCTACATCAGCCATTATATTGGTACCTATGATTAATTTTCCTTTTTTCTTTATGGAATTCTCAGTGTTCTGAGATGAGGAAACTGAAGTATAGTCAGACCTGGTAGCACTGGCCTCAAATTCTAGCTACTCAAGAGGCTGAGGCAGGAGGCCCACAAGTTCAAGCTCTGCCTGGGCTGCAGAGTTAGTTCAATGTCCATCTGAGCAACTCTTATCTCAAATTAAAAAGCAAAAAGGGACTGGGTAGAGTGCTTGCCTACATATGCGAGACCCTGGGTTCAATAACCAGCACTGGAGGGGCTGGAGAGATGGCTCAGCAGTTAAGAGTGCTGACTGCTCTTGCAGAGGACCCGGGTTCGATTCCCAGCACCCACATGGCCACTATGAACCATCCTTAACTCCAGTTCCAGGGAAATCTGATGCCCTCTTCCGACCTAGGTACTGCACGACACGGGTGCACTCACATACATGCAGGCAATACACTCACACACAAAAAATAAAAATAATAAATAAAATATTAAAAAAAAAAAAGAAGAAACCAGCACTGGAGCAAAAGACAAACAAAATGAAACTGGAATAGAAAAGCTACAATAATTTGTTCTAGTCAAGCAAATAATAAGCAAAGGAGAGGGGTGCAGCCTGACTCTCCCTTTTAAAAGCCCATGCTTTTCCTGTCATGACACAGTGCTATTTGATAATGCTCAATGAATCTACTTCATCAAATGCAAAGTGACCCAAAATGGCACTTATCATGTGATTAGAACAGTCTAAAAGCACACTTGCTCAGGGACAGAGAATACGGTCACTTGAAAACAACTAAAACATCTTGCAGGGCTTTGTTAAGTTCAATATAGTATTATGATATAATGAACAATTTCCTAAAGTCCCTTCCTTAAGATAAACTCCAGTCCTGAGATTCAACCTGGGTACAGTCTCTCAAAACATGGGAAGACCATTCTAAGTTCCAAAGTTGTTTCTCAGCCTTCAAAAGAACACTTTAAGAGCTCCCTAAGTCTACACACCTGACTAGCACATCTTCACCAGTCAGCTCTCTCAGGAGCTGGGTGACCAATCCACTTGTGGTACAGTAATGTAAAGATTCTGATGACACAGAAGAAATCTCCACAATTAGCTGAAAGAACAGAAAGAGAAAAAAGGTTAAAACAGCCATAAACCTGTTAGATCTCATTTTAAGTTAAATTTCAGAACTAGGTATAATTTAAAAAAAAAAAAAATTGGGGAGAGGGGCTGGAGAGGTGGTACAATGGGGGTGGAGGTCAAGGAGGGTGTTGGATCCCCTGGAACTGGAATCATAGATGGTTCTTAGCTGCCATGTGGAGTCTAGGAACCAAACCTGGGTTTTCTGCAAGACAGTACTCTTAACTAGTGAGCCTCCTCTCCAGACCCTATATATAATTAAATTCTTAAGAATTATTATTTTAGAAGCTGGAGAGATGGCTCAGTGGTTAAGGGCACTGACTGCTCTTCCAGAGGACCCAGGTTCAATTCCCAGCATCCATATGGTGGCTAAAAACCACCTGTAACTCCAGTTCCAGGGGATCTGATGCCCTCTTCTGACCTCTGTGGGCATTTCATGACATGGGTGCACTCATATACATGCAGGCAATATACCCATATGCATAAACTAAAAATAATAAATAAAATATTAAAAAAAGAAAATAGGAAACGGTTTTGGATTCACTTGGAACTGGAGTTAAGGACGGTTCGTATCTGCTATGTGGGTGCTGGGAATCGAATCCGGGTCCTCTGCAAGAGCCGTCAGTGCTCCTATCATACACATAAAATAAAAATAATAAATAAAATATTTTTTAAAAAGAATTATTATTTTAGGGCTGCAAGATGGCTCAACGAATTAAGCAACTTGCTGCCACGTCTGACAACTGGAGTTCAATCCTTCAGACCCCCGCATGGTGGAAGAAGAGAACCAACTCCCAAAATTGTCTTTTGACTTCCATATATATACTGTGGCACACATGTGGACACATGTACACACACACACACACACCCACACACTCACACACACACACACCACACACACACACACACCCACACACACAAAATACTTGTAATAATTTTTTTAAAATCCATTATTTGTTTCTAGGAAAAAATCTGTACACTCCCAAAAGTGTCTTTTGACTTCCATATATATACTGTGGCACACATGTGGGCACATGTACACACACACACACACACACAAATACACACACAAAATACTTGTAATAATTTTTTTAAAATCCATTATTTGTTTCTAGGAAAAAATCTGTACTTTTCCTCCAAAAAATCATTAACCAGGGTATAAAGGGTTGCGTTAGCAATGGCAAACAAAACCCCTCATTCAAACAAGGATATATGTATCCTCAGTAGTAGAGGTGCGGGTGCTGGTTTTGGGGGCAGTTGCTTCACATGACTAAGGCCTGAATACCAGCAATGCAAACAAAGCAAAACGAAAGAAAACACAACTCATTCATATACCTGTTAGTCATGTCTTCATTTGACAAATATGTCCTTTGAGCTTAATGGGAGACACCAGATACAGAGAGTTTTAGTGGAAGTGGCAGAATCCAGTATAGGTTTTTTTTTTTCGGTCTTTTTGAGACAGGGTCTCTCTGTAGCCCTAGCTGACCTGAAACTTGCTATGTAGACCAGGCTTGGACTCGAACTCACAGAGATCCGACTGCCTCTGCCTCCCAAGTGCTGGGATTAAAGGTGTGCACCACCACACCCGGCCCAGTATAGGTTTTTAAAAGATCGTTCTTGTGTATGCTACAAACACCATATATAATTTTACCTATCAATTACAAAATAAATTTGAAAGAAGAGACCACTCTGATTGGTTAAGATACACTAGGGATGAGAAAAATAAACGAGGGCGGACCAAACTAGATGCAAATACAGTAGTCCAGGTAAGTGACACTGGTAGGTTGGGCCAGGGTGGCGATAGCTATGCTGGTGAGGAAAAATGCACAGGTTAAATAAAACCAACAAAACAGGCTAACTGGAAATGCGGCAGGAAGAATAGGCCTTTGCAAAGAAGGAGCTTAAGGTCAACCATGTAGACTTTCAGACCAGTTTGTTGGTGCTGGTTTTGGGGGACATGGAATGGATGGAGAAGATCAGGAACTCAGTTTGAGCACAGTATAAGGATCCTGGAACACAACTACCAGACCAACAGTGAGTGAGCAGCTAGACACGAAGGTTGAGGGTCTTAGCTCAGAAGAGAGGTGTGTATGGATTATAATGTTTATGTGTGGAAGCCATCATCACATAGATGGAAGCTGAAATCATGAGAATAATTTGCGTAGGTATGAGTACAAAGTACAAGTGAGAGCAGGGGTTCAGACTTCAATTTCACAAGCTCCGACAATTAAAAGGTCAATAAAGAATAATGGGCCAGGAGACCAGGAAAAGCAGATGAAGGAAAACCAGAGCAGTGCGGTGTGAAAGCATGCAAAGTATTCTAAAGAGGGAACTGGACTATACATAATTCCCTTTTTGGGTATTCAGTGTATTAAACGTGTGAACGTGGGCCAATCGCTTCCTCAATAGTGAGAGTAATAGTATATAAGGTTTACTCTAAGAATTAATGACATGGAGGCTAATATAGCTTGGTCCCCAAAGGGCTTTCCATACAAACACAAGAATCTAAGTCTAACTCCCAGAACCTAAATTAAAAAAAAGAGGAAACAAAGGCTCGACGGCAGGCACTTGTGGTTCCAGTGCTGGGGAGGCAGAGACAGGCAGGTCTCTGGGGCCCACTAGCCAGCCAGCCTAGCCTAATTGAGCTCCAAGCAAATGAGACCCTGCCTCATAAAACAAGGCAGAGGGCACTGAAGACACAGAGACTGACTTCTGGCCTCCACACGCACAAATACCCACATACCCACAAACACATGTACACACACAGAAGAGAATGACAGTACACGTGAGGTTTTCAGCACTGTGTTCATTACAAAGTCAGTGGAAATAAGAGCCATTTCTTCTTCCTCTACTAGGACTAATTTTCCAGTTGTTTCAATAGCATCTTGTCTAGCATAATGCGTACACCACACTGGAGTCCATGCTCTGTCTGCACCATGTCACAAAGGGCCTGACAACACAGATTACTCAGGGAGTGCATGTTAAGGGGGCCGTCGTGCCTGCCTTTGTAAATTTACCAGTTTTGTCTTATGAGCATCAGGAAGCATGCTTTTAGTCTTACCTCATACACCCTGTATCGAACAATGTCATTTGTTTTCATTACATTTTTCAAATCATCCAGCAAATTGCTTTCAAATAAAGCCTCCAATCCAGCTTGGGTTAGTGATATTCTTGACAGGGATTTGATAGCCTTATAAGAAAAGAAAATATTAAGTCAGAAAAATCCAGAATATTTACATCTACTTCCTAAGACTGAAGTGAAAATTAGTACATAAGGTGCTAATCTGGGGCTGGAGAGATGGCTCAGCGGTTAAGAGAACTGACTGCTCTTGCAGAGGACCTGGGTTCAATCCCCAGCACCCACATGGCAGCTATGAACTATCCTTAACTCCAGTTCCAGGGGAATTGGAAGCCCTCTTCTGACCTCCATGGCACTGCACAACACAGGTGCACTCACATACATGCAGGCAATACATTCACACACATGAAATAGAAATAATAAAATATTAAAAAAAAAAGAGAGATGTACTAATCCGATGAGAATTCACTACATTTTAGCTATTGTTATTGGAAAAGATGAAGCAACCCAATGTAGTCTGACAGAAAATATGTCTCAGGAACAGCCCACTACATCTACAAAGGTTACAAATTCAATTCCACCTCAGTTCTAGAAACCATCTATTCTAAACCTTCCTTCTCAGAAGGCCTTTTTTTGACTTTAGGACATCAAGATGTCCTTAGCTGACAGCTCTATCAAACTCACCGCTTTAGCTACAGACAGGTCCTCACCACCAATGCAATAAACAATCTGTTTTAACAGTTCAGCATTATTCAGAATCTCAGTAACGGCCTCTGAATTTTCAACAATCCTTCCAATCTGAAAGATAAAATAAGTCAGATCCTCTCCAAAGTAGACCTGCATGTGGACCTATTATGCTCACATTTTTCTAGTGTGTAATTATTTTACAAATCAGTTATTATAGCTGCTATACAATCTCAAAATTCACAATGATTCAAATTCAGTAAAGTCAAACACATACATGGTATAGTCATACTTTTATATGGAAAATAAAAGTCAATAGTGGGTAAAGCATGGAGATAGGCTGATGCGTGTAAACAATACAAATACTAACATGTCAGTTTTTAGTTGCACTGACCTTGGACAAAATAACTTCTTTGAACCTAATTTTTTGTTTGTAAAATGGATGTGCTACCATCCCTGCATTCCTCCAGGGATACAATTCTTAATTCCAAGGTAGTTAGACTAAATAAATATCAGACAAGCCATCTACTATAGCACTCTCTGGCACACATGTGGTCAATGAATAAAATGATACCTTCCCCTTTCAAAACTGAATACTTTAGAGAAGAAAAAGAAAAGCAATAGAATATTTACTAATATTTAGTATTTACTAATCAATTGCCGAGTTCCTAACATTTCGACAAGGTAACCCTTAGCAGCAGCGCTTCCCTCAAACAGTATGATGTTTTGGCTGCCAGAATAAGAGTTACTGTCTTAAGTTGTTGGCTTACTGAAATTTACACTTAGTTTGGGCCTCTTCAATTTGACCTAACATGGCAGAGCAACTGTTTGAACATCTGAAAATCCTGTTCTACAGATGAGGGAAAAAGAAACAGATTTATCTTTGTAACTCCAACAGCATGGGACACTACCTGGCTGTCAAAGGAACTCAGTATTTGATGAGTGTGTGACCAGGATGCCTCTTACGTACGTTAGTAAAATTCTGTACCTGGGACAGAGTGAGGATTTTTACAGAATCATCAGGGTGAGTCAGTCCCCTCTGTAGGTCAAACCTGAGGTTCCTAGCCAGGTGAACTGGCTCCACAGCTTGGAGCAATCTCTCCAGAATAGATACACACAAAGTAGTCTGTTCCCTAAAGGAGACAATACAGATTTCATTAGTTCATGTCCTGTCAGACTGGAAGCAACAACCTCATACCTAAAACTTGGCTCAATGGCAACTTCTTCCATAATGATTTCCTTCAAAATAGCAGTTCTACTCCCTCATTAGATATGTGCTCTGCTCCTACTATCTGCTACACCTGTGTTTGGGCTACAAAGACAGGATATATTGTCTAGCCTTAGCGTTCACTCTAATGAAGACACAGAAAAATAAAAGGCAACTATAATCTAAGTAGATAAATACTATGGGTTAGGGCTAAAAGCTATGGGAGCTAAAAAAAAGTTTCCAGGGTATAGGGAAGGCTTCCTAGAGGAGAAACACCTGAACTAAGTTTTAAGGAAAAATAGGAATGCTCTAGAAAGATGTTTCAAGCAGAGGGAGTAGCAGCACAGGAAAAAGCAGAGAGAAATAAGCTAGAGCATTAATACTTCAGAAGAACCACATGGAGCTTGTTTTGACATGGTCGGAATGGTGGAGGGGCAAAGGGATGGCACAAAGCTAAGAGGGACGCAAGAAATGAAACCGAAGGAATGCAAACCTAATTGTAAGTTTCTGAGGTCTTTTATGCCATGCTTGATATTTACAATTTTTCCAGAGAAGCAATGGCAAGTTGTGAAGAGGCTTTACGTAACAAGGTAACACAAGGCTGCGTGGCTTACAGAAACCTCTTTGGGGCTGGGGATGCAACTCTGTGGTAGAGTACATGCTTGGCATGTCACACACACACACACACACACACACACACACACACAGTGCTTTAAACAGTAGTGATGAGCTAAACTACATAGTGTATAAACTGCAGGTCAGATGTGAGCCTTAGGAACCAAACAAGCACAGGTAATAACATAGAATCATTTCTTTGACTTCCATGTTGTAAATCTTAGGTCTTAATTTCCCTCACAAAACTGTTAAGACTGAAGATTTACACCTACAAGATCAGACCCTGATTCAACACAGTAGCTTTTATGATTTAGCCAATAGTAGTGTATGTGGTGACTGTCAGAATACTCTCCAGAGAAGACGTATTCCCATAGATTGCAACTGACACCTAGTACATATTCAGTGCTGAATTATTGTCTAAATTTCCACTACAATTGCTTCCTAGAGTACTACTCCATCATGTAGCAAGCTGCCTTTCCTATTCCCCTTATCTCTCAAACTCAACTTCAGTTCCAGTTGCCAACTTGTGATAGGACTTTTCAAAGTCTCTTCACCTTCAGTATGAAAAGTGGGCCAGGAGTGGTGGCTGACACCTGTAATCCTAGCGTCTGGGTGGAAGATGCAGGAGGGCTGTGAATTCAAGGCAGCCTGAGCTACATAATGAGTCCAATATCGGCTCTTCATAGCAAGACCCTATTGTAAAACAACAACAGCAACAAAAGTTGGACCAAGTACCCTCTCTATATGCTATACACATCACCTTCTGGCATATATATGAAATACTGTGCTTTAAGAGAGATGTAGAGTTGGGCAAAATATAGCCCCTGCCATCAGGATCTAGAAATATACACATACAAAACTGTAACAAAGCAACTGTGTCCTCAACCAGCAAATAATTATCCATTAAAATGTCACTTGCAACTGGAGTGGAGAAAGACATTTGGAGGTATGGCACATTGGCTAGGCCTTAGAAGACAGAATATTTAGAGAGGAGAAGGCATTTTAGCTAGAAGGACTGGTATGAACAAAGTTAAGAAAGTGCAAGTCATGCTCTAAGAACGTTAGTGGTATGACATGGTAGGTGGCACAGATGAATTCACTGGAGTAAAGAAAAAAGATGAGGCTGGAAAAGCAGAATGGAAATATACCAGGAAGGGCCCAAATACCAAACTAAATAGTCACGATTCCACTGTTGGAAAGGGAAACTCTGGAAAAGATGAGCTGACAAACTGGTCGCAGTGTGAGGACTAGTTAGGTAGTGACTGTTACCAGTAGATCTACTAAACAGTGGGAAACGAGAGCCTAAATTAAAGAGAAGGAATAAGAGACATCTTGTAGGTATCTAAATAATGTCAACTAACAGATTTAATGACACGAAAATCGTGAAAAAGGAAGGAATTTCAGGTCAGAGGCAAGAAAGCTTTCTGTAAGCATTCAGTGTTGACCAAACAGTTCATTACCTTTTAAATTCACTTTTAAATTCTGGAACATACATACACACACACACACACACACACACACTCACTCACTCACTCACTCTTAAATTCTGGAAAACAAACACACACACACACACACAATTCCTTTAAATAATCAAATCACCAAATATGTTTTTAATTTAACACTATAGGTGCAGATTAGGCCAAAAGGAAAAGATGGTTATCCTAGCATTTAAACTCCCATGTCTGTATTAGTATTTTCTACAAATATTCCTATACTATACAAGTTATACAGGTAGGGGAGTGTATGCACTGTGGTTTGTTTGTTCAAAAAAATTTTTTTAACAGAGCATAGGGTAGGGGTTTATTTGCTAAAGAAGAGTGGGCGCCCCACATTTACCGCTTTGTCACAAGGTCACTGTGGTTCCTTTTAAAATTCACACATATTGATATGATAAGCTCTGCCATTTTCTTCATTCACATTCTCATGCTCAGGTAGACGTACCTATTTTAAACAGCTGATAGTGTTAAGTAGCTAATCATTTTGAAGTCCTTTTATATGGTTAGCTTCTACCTTTTTGCTGTCTCACACACTGCTGATTGTTTTTCTGTATATAGTGCGTTTTAATACAAGTATACTAACATTCTTACAGTCTCGGCAGGGCAATGACTAAAGTGAAAAGGTGAGTGACGGATCCCGCCACACCACCAGCAGGAGATGAAAAGGAGCTGCTACGTACAATTATGGCATTTCTGCAACGGGAAAACTGGACTTTCCACCTATCCCTACCTCCTGGACACAGACAGCACTGAGGCCAGGTGGCCAAACACCAGCCACGTCTCTGGATGTCAGGCCCGGTCCTCCCGGCTACCATTCGACTTCCTCGCTCCTGCATCCCCAACCTCCCGGTCCCCTCCGCCGAGCATCCCCGGGCCTCACCGATTGTTCTCGTTAAGCAGGGAGAAGAGCGGCCCGAGGCGCAGCTCGCCCGCCTGTTCTCGAAGCTCGTTGAGCGGCACGGCCTGCACCACCGACTGCAGCGCTCGCAGCTCCTCCAGCGGCGCCTCCAGCCG